AGGCTCCAACTCGAGTGTTGCATAAAGTTCTGGTTACTGTGACACAGGGCACTGCCAAGGCTCTCAGGCAGTGCATAGGAGAGCAACAAGGATGATCCCTAGCATTTGAGGACTGAGCCATGAGCAGTGATTAGACAAGCTAGAGCTGTTTAATCTTTCAGGGAAAACGACTCAGAGGGCATCTTATAGAGATATATAACATTTTTAATGGGATTGAAATAGTAAACCTAAATCAATATTTTATGATGTGACAAGACAGTAGAACAAGAGGATATGGGTTTAGGGATGCAAACGGCAATTTCAAGGGGGAAACCAGAATTTTTTTTTAAGCTAGCAGGTCTTAAACGACTGGAACATGTTGCCAGAAATGTGGTTGAGGCCAGGACACTGTACTCATTTAAAAAATAGCTTGATGCTTTGATGGGAAGGTGGTAGGGTAGATGATCTGAAAGGATGAGATCAAATGAGCCAAAGGACCTTCTTCATCCAAACCAATCTTGTGATCTTACCAATGGAGATGAAAATATCAGGAGTGTTTATTTAAGATATGAGTATTACCATTCAACAAAATCTAGACTTGATTCCCTTTACATTGTGTTGGTTCATTCATGATGTTGAATATCAGGGTTATATATTAAAGCTATGGACAGGTCACACACAGTTTAGTTTCAGGAAAGACTGTACTTCCTAAATGATGGTCAAAAGCTGGTGGCTAGTAGTTTTTGGTTTCAGGATGTGAAAATTCCAAGTTGCGATCGCGGCCGGATTTTGCTTTCAGGTCATTTGTCAGGCATGAAAAGGTCCAATGTCTGAAGAAATGTCAGAATGCAAATCACAGACCACAAGCCAGCCTTTACTGATCTACAGTTTTTTACCCAATTTGGTATTGAATTTGCTTGTAAATAACATGTTATATGAGCGTGTGTTTAAGTGAAGGTGTGTGTAGTTCTGAATGTGTCTTTAATTCTGTGTGTGCAGAGTTCTGTGTATGTGTTTAAGTGTACATGTAGGCACCACTGTGCTTGCCTCTAGAGCACTCACCTCGCAAGTGAGAGACTTAAATTTGAGTCCCAGGCAGAGCAAACGTTAGGCAAGTTTCCTCACTCCACATGCCTCTGTTCATCCAGCATTAAGTAGGAACCTGGTTGTTAGTCGATTGGCGGATTGCTTTTCCAGGGGTAATAAGCCCTTCAATAAATAAATAATAATTTGGTCACTCAATCCACGACTGTTTGTGGGACACTGCTGCGTGCAATTGGCTGCCGTGTTTCACCCACAAAAATATACAGTCAATTCACTTCTGAGAAGCGCTTTGAGACATCTCGAAAACAGAATAAGGCACTATTTCAAATGCAAGGATTATTATTATTAAGTATACATGTGCACAGCTCTGTGCATGTGTTTAAGTGTATGTGGGCACATTGCTTTGCGTCTGTTTAATTGTGTGAATACAACTCTGTATGTGAATTTAAGTATATTTCTGCGCAGTGCTATATTTATCTAATTACCAAGCCAATAATAACTCAGTGCTGTGTGCTCTCATTGCACTATTATTTTCATTAAACATTCAAAATCTTACAAAAAAGGAGACCCTGTAGGTGATCTCACCCTGCTGTCCTCCTATTATAGTATCAAGCTGTTTCTTATAATTGAACCCAGGGGCCCCAGAGATGTTCAACCACATTTCCTAGAGGTTCATTCCAGCTGTTAATTACCCTCTGGGTAAAGAAATACTTCCTGGCATACCTCCTAAAATTGACCTTCACACTGACCCTCAGTAAATTCTATCCCATGCACAGAGTACTTGTGTCACCTGTTGTTACTTCCTATATACAGTTCCTTGAATTGACCCATATTACATATCAGTCTCGGAGCATACTCTTCCGAGCTCTCTTTGTAAGATCTTGGCTGCCTCCTTTAATTCCAGATGTTGCTCTACTTTAATGGACAACTAAAGAGATGCATGAGTTGTCCCCAGACATGGCTGAAAAATCTGATACTAGCAAGTAAAGATCAATACAGATGAATACAAGGGACTATATATAGAAAGGAAGACTAGGAAGCACAAGTCATGGATAGGGTAGAACTTACAAAGGGAGAAGCTGAAAAGGATCTGGAGATGTCAGTTGATTCATTGCTCACTATCTCAAAAGTGTGTGAAACAACAATAAATAAGGCAAACAGGGCGCTGGGCTATTATTGCTAAATCAGTTGAGTTTAACATAACATAACATGTAGGAGCAGGAGTAGGCCATTCGGCCCTTTGAGCCTGGCCCACCATTCAATCATGGCTGATCTTCTAATCTAACTCCAGCTAATAACCTGACCCTGCCTTATCCCCATATCCCTTAATCCCTTTTGCAATAAGAAATCTATCTATCTCAGTCTTGAATATGTTCAAGGACTGAGCGTCAACAGCCCTTTGGGGTAGTGAGGTCCATACATTCACCACCCTTTGAGTGAAGAAGTTCTTCCTCAACTCAGTGTGAAAGGGTTGGCCTCTGATTTTAAGGTTGTAACCCCTGGTTTTAGTTTCTCCAACCAGGGAAAACAATCTCCCACTATCTACTCTATCATGCCCTTTGATGATCTTATAGGTTTCTATAAGATCCCCTCTAATTCTTCTATATTCTGGAGAATATAGGCCCATATTGGTCAGCCTATCCTCATAATTCATCCCCTTCATCCCTGGTACTAACCTAGTAAATCTACGCTGCACCCCCTCAAGGCAAGTACATGCTTCCTTTAATAAGGACACCAAAACTGCACACAGTATTCCAGATGTGGTCTCACCAGGGCCCTATACAGTTGCAGCAAGACTTCCCTACTCTTATACTCTAATCCTTTCATAATGAATGCTAACATAGCGTTCGCCTTCCTAATTGCTGCTGCACCTGCAGACTAACTTTCTGTGATTGGTGTACAAGGACACCCAAGTCCTCTGGAAGTTTAGATAATAATAATAACCCTTGCATTTGATATAGAGCCTTATCGCATCTTTGAGACTTCTCCAAGCGCTTCAGAGAATATACTGTCAAATAAATTGATTATATATTTTGTGGGTGAAACGCAGCAGCCAATTGCGCAAAGCAGTGTCCCACAAACAGATTGAGTGACCAATTTATTAATTTTTTTAAGCAATTAGTACCCCCAAAAAAGCGATCCGCTAATTGACTAACAACCGGGTTCCTACTTACTGCTAGATAAACATGTGGAATGAGGAAACTTGCCCATTGTTTTGCCCAGTCGGGAATCGAACCCAGGTCTCTTGCTTGCGAGGTGAGTGCTCTAACCACTGAGCTACAGGACTCCAGATTTCCAGAAATCATGCCAATGCTAAATATCACTCTCTCTGATCAAGCCACAGTGCAACATTCTGGTCACCACGACAGAAGAGGGCTGGACAGACCCTGAACAAAGATGATCCTCAGTTTTAGAGGAATGTGCTAACTATAAGCAATGATGAGACAAACTAGAGCACTTCACTCTTGAAAGGAGATGTCTCTGAATCTAGAGGTACAAAAGTTTCTTAGTAGGATTGTGAAACTGAATCCAGAATCATTCTTTCAAATGCATTGAGATAACAGAACAAAAGGTTTAGAGTTTAGAGTTACAAAGGACAATTTCAGGACAGACACCAGGAAGTATTTCTTCACCCAGGGCATAAGTAATGGCTGGAACAGGTTACCAGGAAGGGCGTTTGAGGCCAGGCCAGGACATTAGACTCATTTTAAAAAAAACACAGCTTGATGCTATGATGGAAAGAGAAGGTATTCTGGAAGAATTAGATAAAATGGGACTAAGGGATGAAAAATGTTTTAAACATTTCTCGGCTTTTGGTACTGAGACAATCTTAGCTGTCACTGATAAGAATATGTGTTTTTACAACACTTTATTACATCAAAATATCTCAAAACCTGTTAGAATTAATTACTGTCTATTTAATTACTGGTTTTGTGAACAAATCTGGCAGCCATTTTCACACAGAAAGGTTCATCCAAACAGCAACAAAGAGAATAATTGATTTATCTGGAGAGTTTGTTGGTCAGGTCAATAGGATGAAACTCTCTTCTGTTTTAAATGGTATCATGGAATCTTTAGCATCCATCTGAAGAGATAAACGGGACCACGGTTTAATGTGTAATTTGAAGGACGGCATCTCCAACGCTATAGTGCTCCCCCAGTATTTTGCTGAAGTATCATCCTGGACTATAAAAAGTCTAGATGTACCACTTGAATAGAATCACTTTCAATTATATCTCTACTATATATCAAACTGTCCAGTTTTGCCTTTCTCTGTCTGTGTGTGTCTGTGTCTGTGTGTAAATATATATATATAGTATAAGAGACTAAATAGTGTTTACGAACCTAAAGGGTGCATCTTGAATAAGTTTTGGAAACCTCAAGTTTTCACTCAGTTTAATGATTACTCTTGAGAGCTGCCCAATCAGTTTCATTCAAATTCGATAAAAAGGGAGATCAGACTTCGACTTATTTTAAGTCATGGTCCTGACTGGTGACCCGGTCCCACAAAGCCTTCACTCTTGCTTTGGGTAAGTGTGTGATCATATTTCAGGCTTTCAATGGCAGAGAACAGGCAGAATGAAAGTCAGTGGGAGGTTTACAGAATTCTTCAATCTCATGAAAAAAATATATAAAATAATAATATCCAAGCGCTAAGAAGGTGCTATTTGATAAATAGGTGCCAAAATAATAGGTGCAGGCATCACACTGACATTTGGTAATTTTGCTGTGTTTTTCCTTTGAAGGTGTTTCAGAGCTTTGTGAAGCTGCTGTGAATCAATACCGAGGGTGGGGGGCTTCGACCTTGCTACAGAAATTGAGTAATCAAACACTCAACTATTTACTGTAAATAACAATTCTTTCTAAAGGGAAATTCTGCATTGCATTCAGGTCACCAAAGTTTTCCAGCATTATCTTTGGTGTCTAACCACAGTAAGATGCTTTTGTGTTTGTATTGTTTTTCTGGAAACTATCAGATCTCCAGTAATACAAAGAGTTGGATACCCCAGAATGAAGTGAGAATAAAGTAAGTAAAGATTTTTCCATTAATGAGCATGTTTGCTGATGAGAAATCCTAATCGTCAGTGTAAAGGAACACTGTGCCTCAATTGACATTAATGATGCTGAAATTGCAAAAGTCGCATTGTGAGTCAGCCTCCAAAGCTCTGCCAGTTAACTGGAGAGGATTCAATAATATGCCACTGAATTCAAATTATATCCTTCAAATGGCCTAAATTAAATATTCAAATTGTGCAGATCATGAGTCCAATAAACTCTATATGTTATGGTTTATAAGATATAAAATGTATTAACTAGAGAAATGTTATAGTCTATCAATTATATTTTGGTTCTGATTTACTCAACCATGGAAGGCACTTCTTCTTCATTACTTTTCTTTCCCTTTTTATCTTCCTTTGTGGTCTCCTCAGCTTGACATCTTCTGAAGCTGAAAGCAAGATAGTTGATCATTTCCCAGCCTCTGCCTGTACCACTCCACACTCAGCAGGTAGCAGTCTCATGTATGGGGGAAGGATGTGCAATTCTCATTTTACTGGATTTGTAACCCAATGATTTCATGGTGGACTAACAAAGAGCTTTACGGGACACATCTCCACTACAGCATACTACACAAACTATTGCCTCCACCCCTGAGGCTATGCCTTACCCAAAGCACTCGATTTTCATACCTATGAAATCTCTCATACATCTACACTAATAATAGTAACCTTTTGATTCATATCATCTTCCTATCTAGCCATATCTTCGGATGTGTTCTTACCTCACAATATCTTCTGAAGTTGTCATGATTTTTTTTGATAATGAAATGTGACCAATTAAATTATTATTATTATTTATTATTTGTGACCAATGTTGTGCTTTTGAGCTGACCTTATATTATTGTGTAGCTACATAGCTTTACCTTTCATTGTTTATTCACATATATATATGTCAAATGCGCCGTATCAACATTTAACGTGCTTATGACTAAGCAAACTGACTTAATAGTATAGTTTTCGAGAGTGGATTACTTCTGTTTTTGTTAATAGTATAGTTACCTGCTATATTTAAAAATGGTAATTGTGTTGCTTTATAGGTGAGCATTTCACATGCCCTAACTCTGCAATAAAGCTTTTAATTACCCCCATCTAAGTGTCTCTAATGTTTTTTAAACTGCCTCTTTTGTCAGTGATTTATATGGGTGCAGAATTTGGTAACCCAGGACACAGATTAAGGAGAAGTGGGCTCAGAATGTGATTGCTAGAGGGGAGACCACATGTGTGTTCTCCAATAAAATTTCCACAATAAATTTGGGTTCCAGCTTTGCAAACCCACCTGTCCCTTGTATGGGTGCTCTGGAGAACTGCTCCCTACACATACCTAGTCAGAGGGCACCTTGCATGCCAGGCAGAGACTCATTGCAACTTTTACAATACAATACAATTTACATGTATTTGACACCTTTCACATCAGGAGGACATCTCAAAGTGCTTGCTCGTCTGTGCTATCAGCACTTAGTGATACTCACTGAAGCTTTATATACTGCTGAACCAGTGCCAAAAACAATGTACAATCAATTTTACTTTTCAGCTGTTTGGTTGCTGGAATTGCTCCACCAAAGGCTTACTCAATCCACGACTATTTGTGAGACACTGCTGTACGCAATTGGTTACTGCTTTGAGACATCTCAAAGACACGATAAGGCGCTGTATCCAATGCAAGGATTATTATTATTATTACTCATTAAGTAGGATATCTCATGCCAAAAATCCTCATATAATAGTGAAACTAGTGAAGAAAGTTAGATTAAAGGATTTCAACAGATTGCTGAAACATGGAAAAAGACCAAAAATACAACTGATAATGACTGAATTCTAGAGTGACCACAACATACTAGAGATGCCACCACTTTCATTGCTATTGCTTTGACTTTTTCAGCAAAAACTCCTATGGCAAATATATATTGTTGTTTAGTTCACTAAAAAGCATTTCTTTAATATATTGTATGATATTGGGTCTATCCCACAGAAGTCATGTGCTTATAATAATAATAATAATTCTTATATTTGGTATAGCGCTTTTCAAGTCTTTCATGTCTCAAAGCGATTCACGGGATATACTTTAAAGTGTAGTGGCTGTGTGTTTTGTGGGAGGACTACTCATTAAAAGCAAGTAATTGAAAGTGGATGCATAATACATTGCACTAGCGGGGAGAAATTCCACCTAGGTCTAGATTTATTCCATTTACTTTCATTTCATGGCTGTTTAAACATCTGTTTGAATGTCTGATTTGAAGGACGTAACATCCAACTATGAAGCACACTCCTAGCACTTTACCTAAGTTTCTGCCTATACCATACGCTCAAAGTTCGATGTGAAAAGCAAAACTAATCATTTCACACGCACAGATCATCCAACCTGCTAAACGGTAAAACAGCAAGTACCCCAATTACGTTCCTGATATTACTAACACAACACCCTGAAAGAGGGTGTAAAGGAAGGGAATGATGATTTGATATAGTTTTGCAATAAAGTTTAAAAGTGAGCTAAATGTGTTCATATTTCTTTAATTTTTTCTTGTGATATATTACTTTCCCTTAATGTTGCATGTCTTTTGTTTTGCTCTTTATTTAATTTCCTTATATGTTTACTACACACATTTTCATATTTTCCTCTTTGCTTCTTCTCTCTTAGAGAATGTAACAACATTGCAAGTAAGCCAGATGGAGAGATGAAAGAGAAGGGAGACGGAGAAACAAGTTTCTCCCAGTGCCATGGCCAACAAGACCGAAGATAAAAAATTGGTCATTTACCTACTGTCTGTCAGTGGGACATTGCTGCATGCAAATTGGCTGGTGCGTTCACCTACAAATACAGTCACTACACTTTACAGACATCTTGTTTCACTTTTTACAAAGTCCTTTGTTACATTCTCCAGGAGATACTAAGAAAAGAGAAAATATAAAAAGGGTGTAGCAAATGTTTAATGAAATTGAATTAAAGAGCTAAAGAGATAAAGAAAAGCAACATAAAGGAAAGTGATGTCAGAAGAAAAATTAAAAGCAATTTGAATACATTTTAAACTTTATTGTAAAAATGTATTAAATCATAATTGTTTTTCATTACATCCTTTTCCAGTGTATTGCTTTGAGACATTTCAACAACATGATAAGGTGACATATCAACACTGATTACTTTTATTACCAGATCTACTTGTTGGAAAGATCTTCACAATCACCCCAGATTAGGTGGTTGTGAGCCCTGGCTCTTTTCCCCTCCCTATTTCTCTGTCACACATATGAGGAGTCTTGATTTTGCCTCCTTCCTCTTTTTTTGTATCTTATTCCTCCACTCCTGTTCCTGCTCAGGGTCTTGCAACCTCCTTATACCAAAGCTTATCTGAGGAGGGTTTAGGAATTTAGATGTAGACCCAGTACATGTTTCTCCTGTGCACAAAATTCAAAAATAAGACCTCACAGCTTCAAAACAAGCTAAATTAAAGGGAATAGGAAGTGCAGAGAAATTCATTTTAGTAAAAGGCTGATATTCATGTGTGGTAAATTATCATCACGGACTGTGCAACAAGGAACTATAAAAGGTTTCAAAAAGGAAGTAGACAAGTTCCTGGATATTAAAAGGATTCAGAGTTATTAGATGATGAAGCAGTTTTATCGAGGAAATCTTTTGGGAACTTGGATGTACAAGGTGAATCAATGGTGGATCTGAAACTATTACTATGCTGCTATGTTACCATATTGGATCTGGATTGTGGCAATGCAAGTGCATATTACAAGATTTCTTTCCTATTTTGCAGGCATTTGCTTGCAAAATACAGTCACTACAAATTGCAATAATAATAAAATAATAATGATAATCCTTGCAATTGATATAGCGTCTTATCACATCTTCAAGACATCTCAAAGCACTTCACATGAATACATTGTAAAGTGTAGTGATTGTGTATCTTGTGGTTGAAACATGGCAGCATTGCACACAGCAGTAAATCCTGTGAAACACTTTGAGATGGTCTCTTGACTTGAAAGGAGCTCTGGAATTTTATTATTATCTTTATTTCACAGTTACAATTTTAAACGCTAGAAATATTCCTTGGGATTTCTGATTTTGTAAGGAGCACACATCCAAGTGTGTATTGGACAAAAGGAGGAAAGATAAATAGGGGGAAAGGATGAATACAACAGTAATGATCAGGGAAATTCAGTGAGTTTGGGGAATTTAAATTGAACAAAAAAATGAGATGGGAAGGAGAGTTCAAGGATCCTAAATGAGTTTCAGTGCTTAATGGCTTAATAATAGCAATTAACTCCAGTTACCAGCAAGCAATATTTACAAAGAAGAAAGACTTTTACAAACTGGAATGGAATGAAGGAAAGCCATTCAGTCCATCAAGCTCACTTCCTCCACAGTCCACAAAAATCAACTAATTTGAGAACTTCACATGCTCACTCTTATCTCCAAGCGGAGAAACTACACTTCATAAACTGCATGAATCCCAAAGTCAATGAAGTAGAAGTTTCATACTATTCTGATATATTCACAATTAAAACCTGTCCTTCTTTATTCCACTGTCTTTTTCAACCAAACCCAAACATTTGTTTATTTCATTCTGTACCTATCCCTATATAATTCAATACTGTTCTCAGCTAGATGCTTCTCAGTTACTATAAACCAATTCACTATCAGATGCCTTTGTTCAGAGTTTATTCCAAATATAACTACTCCATATGAGTAAAACATCTACCAATCTTTTGTTCCACGTCAGGCTGTTTTAATTTGAGGCTGAAATTTCTTGTTCTGTTCTTGCAGTCTAAATAAAATATTCTTGATTGCATCTACCTTATTTATCTCTGTCATCATACTATAAATGTGTTTTATTCTAAAGTTCAGTGCAAGCCAAGACACCAAGAGGAGCTTCCTTCTCTTTTTGAATAGTGCCACTTAACATTCACTTGAACAGGTAGATGAGATCTTGGTTTAATGTCTCGTCTGAAAGAGGGCACCTCCAGTCCATCACTGCATTGGATTGTGAGCCCAGACTATCTCCAGCAAAAACACCCTTCATGTCAATGAGCACATTAACTCAGCAAAACAAAACACATTACTTAAAAGAAAGTGAAATAAAAGAGGAAAAATCTGTACATGAAACAAATGTAACTTTATCTAGAACTTTAGTATAAGTCTGTAACATTTAAAGCTTACTCTCAAACGACAACCAGTGGGAATCATGTTAATGCTCAATGGAATTTCCTTGCTGGGTTATTTTAGATAGCAACTGTTAATAAAATTCATAGCATGCCAATGCCCATTTGTCCACTTGGAGTTTTTGCTCAATGTTCTGCTTCTCTGTTCTACGTATTGATTATCTATGAGGCCAAGCTACTAACTCAAATATTTTGAATGAGCTTTCTGGCAAGTTGTGAATCATTGGTGGAGTACAGGTTGACTCAGATCCTCCAAACTGCTGCAGTCCCGAAATTCAAATGATTAGCCCCCGCCCTTGGCTCTCTGTCCTTCAGCCAACATTTCAGCCGAAAAAGTGAGATTTTGCGATTTCAAGGCAGGACAAGCTAAAGCGGAACATTCGCAATGCACTGTGCATGCCTAAGAGGAGCGAATTCTACAGAACTTTGATTTGCTTAAAGAGAGCTGCGTGGGCTCAATCTTTATCTCAATCATCTTATCTCTTCTTGCCGCAGTCAGGTGAAATTTCTGAAATCAGTTGCGTGCTGGAGCCTTTTCACAAGAAAAACAGTGATCAAATCCATGAGCTGTGTCATTGATTCCACTAAGTGACTTTCTACTTTTCCAGGAATTTTATATTTCAAAAGTAACAGAACTGTGACATTCACAGTTGAATTGTGCAGCGGCTCATATTCTTCATCTTAGATTTTGAGATTTCGCTTTGGTAATTTAGCAATGTTAGATAATATTGGGAGGGATGTAGGAGGAAGAACTATCATAGATTGAGAAAACGTGAACATGTGAATACACGCATACCTATGCATTGCATATGAGTTAAAATATGTCAGTGATAGCTGCCAGTGCTGGAGATTTGAACATGATCGCACCTTTTCAACACAGGATTAGTATCAACAACAACAACAAAATTACAGTTATAGAGCATGCCTAGGTCACACCGATCATGAGCTAGGCGATGCAGGGAAAAGTTTTCTCCTCGATACCTCAAAATGAACCATAACACCTATTCCCATCAGCTTCAAAAGAGCACTGTGTCAGTGTAACTTTTTCCATTTCCACCAAGCAGCCTTCTCCTCTCTCAAAGATTGTTAATTTGTGTGCACTAATTTTGTGATGTATGCTTGCACCAACCAGAATTCAGTTGAAACCACATAAACTCGTTTCATTTAGAAACCTTACAGTTCAAAAGACAGTGGAGATGTCATTTTTTAAAATTATTTTTGCAAAAGTGAGTGCAACCCTTATAAACTACTGTCATTTCAGTGACCGTGGTTTGTTACTGCACATTACATGCACTGTAGTAAGGAGTGCTCTCCTAAGGCTGATGATAATATATAGTAATCCTTAACAAATCATCCTTGCATTTAATACAGTACTTTATTAGATTGTGAAATGTCTCAAAATGTACTTCACAAAATGTACTATAAAGTGTAGTAATTATGTATATTGCAGACATCTATTGTGTACCTGAAATAAGTGTGTATGATTTCTTGGGAAGTATACCTAAGAGGAACATTTGAACTGTTTAAAGTTTAAAGCAACGTTTGGGCCGTTGCAAGGCTCGGGCAGAAATCTATCAAAAATGTATTAAGGAACCATTTAAAGGTGATACAGAGACTGGGGTGAGCAGCCATGCAGTGAATTTGTAAATCAAGCAATTCTTTTCTTTTTATTTAATTATTGTCTTTTTTTGCATTTTTCTGCAACACCTAAAGATGTCATGATTCACATGTGTCTTGATTCAGTCACATAACCTTTAATAGGACGTCTCTGTCCAGGTTGTGAATATACAAGAGATAAGTCATCAGTTGGGAATTGGGTAATGAAAATAGGCACACTGATCGCAGGGCAGGATTTAAATGTTGTAAATACTTTCACTTTTTTTAAATTAATACAATGATTTTTGATGCTATATGTGGTCCCAGTCTTTTGTTTGTTCTTAAAGCAGGTTCTAAAAAAAGCACGAAGATACAGTATGTTTACATTTATATAGTGCCTTTCTTATCAGAAGGACAACTATAAGCACTTGACACTGCTGGTTGGGCACCTATCTGGGGATGGGAACCGAGAAGGTGGGGAGAGGAAGGATGTTTGAAAGTGTGATCAAAGAGGTAGGTCTTGAAATGGATCTATCAACAAGGGAGTTAGACATTTATTACATCATTTAAAAAGAGAGAATAGTGAGATACATCAATTGCTCTACTTTAAACTGGTTGTGTAGCTTAATTACTCAGTGGATGAATAGACACTGTACAGTGGAGTTGAATCATACAAACTTGGAAAGTCCCAGGTTTGATCCCTCGTTTATTAGCAAGCCTTTCTGGTTGATCTCATTCCCACCTTTCTAACCCTCAACTTCATTATTGTCCAGGAACCTACTTAATTGAGTTCAATATAAGACACCACTGTGTGGGTGAGTGGTTGATGTAAATGGTGATTTTGGAAGTAGTGATTAGATTGATTCTGAGCCTGGAGCCGGTAATGCACTGACATTGTGTGTATAAGAGCGGTATTCAATCCAATGAAAATCCCCATTGCCTCACTCTTGAGAATGAGTGATGT